CATCTGAGTTTTAATTTGTTATTTTAATTTCCTTGAACACTGCTTTGTACGACCAGTAGACACCACAATCTTGTTTTCAAAGTTACATTCATTTTTGGTATATATTAATAATCACAGTAACTAACATGTACATAGAAAATGGAGGTAAAATATGTGAGAAAGAGTGACTGAAATAAACTGATGCTATGACCAAGAATACAGAAATAAAAGTTTGGGTTCATGAATATAAGATGTAAAATGAGAGCACAACAATGGTATAGTGGTTAATAACAGGCTGACTTGCTACAGATGGCAGACACACTCCTGCAGAGAAAATAGCAGTGAGATTCCTGTAGAGCCTTTGGGAACATTTGTTTTACCAGTCATTAAGAATTGTTAATTTTCTTTCCTATATACCATACACAAAAAATTTAAGGTTATGTTCTCAATGTAAGCACCAGATACAGAGCTTTTATGATTACAAGTGTACCACAATTCTCTGGGAGACATATGGTGTGGACCCACAAGTTCATACAATGGAGGGTAAGGTGTTCTACTGCTTAAAAGCAAGAACTGCACTCAACTTATAGCACACAGAAAAATACAACGATACATATAATGTTTTCTTCTGACAATTAACCTCACTTTTCAACTCGGAGTTCCAGAAACTCTTCGGTTCTCACAGTGTAGGTTATCACAGAAAAAGGAAAATTGAACTTCTTCTATTGTTGATATTATTATATGCACCTTCTCCATATTCTTGAATTTTTTTGACTGTGGAGTTCATCAGTCCACTGCTCTGTGCAAACAAGGAAATGTGTTTTGTTGTGTTTATTGAAACAACTTGAAACACAATTCATTTGCACACACACACACACACAACTATGTGATGCAAAATACAACCCTGATAATGTGGTACTGGGGGTATGGAATGATTATCTGACTGGGAAATATCATTCATGCACTGTTATGAAATATTATGAGAGTTTGGTCCCGTACTAGAACTAGGACAGTGGACATGTTTTAAAATTAAAACGACAGACAAAAGAGTGAATCGCTTAAAAATTTGTGTGACCATTCTTCTTCTACAATCTCTAAAAGGAGCCAATTAATTAATTTTAATAATCAATAATTAGTGTTTACTAGGTTGTATACTGTAATACTAAAGGTGCATGGAGAGTTGCTGTAAACATAAAAATATAAAAACAGTTACTAATACTGATAGAAGGAATCAGTAAGAAGACTACAGATATTGGGGGCTGTCAAGGACCAATCACACAACATTACAAGACCATTTATACTCTTTCGCCATACAGTGCAATTTCAAGCAATCAGAAACCTTGAAACAGAATTCAGAATATCTTCTAAGACAACGTGTTTCAAAACTACATAATTACATGTTACCCGATTAATCGGAATCAGTATTAGGGATCATCAGATAGAACACGTCCAGGGTCTCCAAGTTAGAGAGAGCTCCGTTCTTCAATTTCAAAAAGGACAGTTTAGACACGCAGTGGTCTCTTAAAAAGTTCTTTTAGAGTTAGCCCATTTCCATATTTAAAGAGACTGGAAAGGTGTAGTTCACGTCAGAGTACACAAGAGTTTCTGCACCTTGGCATTCTGAATGCTCGTAATTCTGTGTGCGTATACAGGTTGAATGTTCAATGCCTTTTCAGTTTTTTATGTTACGCAGTACCACATAACTATTATACGCTCTTACTTGAAATAATATACTGAAGCAGACGTTCAAACCAGGTGGCCTTCGTGGGTTAAACATGCTAGCAAATTCTGTTGCCAGATTTTTTTCCTTTTATATTTCCCTATTCCTTCATCCTATGTAAAGTAAAGTTTGTCCCACTATACGCCATGTAGGCGCTTGGGGGGAGTGGAGGTATAGCTCCTCTCTTCCTTGACCTCGGCACTAGATGGGG